CACAGACATCACTTTCAGCCTGTGTCTTCTGTACACTAGTTCCAGGGACCCTACAGAAGCTAATTAAAATGGTGATAGAGATTGAGTAGTCAATATACTAGCTGCAAATCCAAGACCACCGAAAGAGTTTTCGTACTAAATGGCTTCAACCAATGTCTTGAATTGAATAGAAGCAAATAAAACTACAGGATTTATGGACTTAAGGGAGTATCAGGCTCATCCTTGACAGATACAACTTAATGAGTTGGAGAAATAGAAGGAAAGAGTATAGCATAGTTACATGCTGCTCCAAGTAACTTACTCTTACAACAACCTTGCAGGGGGGAAAGAGAGTGGTATCTTTGAGGAGCCTAGCCCTCTTCAAGCTCGTCAGCGCACAAATCCACCTGGTGGGAAGACAAGTGATATCTTTGGGTCTCCAGTGCCTGCCAACGTTGTTCGAGCACACCCAAACAAGCCCAAGGTATTTTACTTCCCTGGCTCTTGCAGCGGGTCGGAAGAAACTAGCTAATGATAGGACTTCCTATAGTCTGGTAAAACTAATGGTCTGAACAAAATTCTACGGCTTTTGCTATGCTAGGCCTAAACTGTGCATTGGGTAAACCAAAATAAGGCAGCACTGCTTTTATGACTATTTTCTTTCAGCTCATTGTTTTGAGGCAGCAACAAAGCAACTTCCTGTCAATGTGCTGTAGAATGCTGAAACTTATGAACTATGAAGCATGAATTGTGGGGGAAGCCAAGGACTTCAGCAGTTGGGTAGAGAATAGTTAGGGATTTTTACACCCAGCTAGGACATAAGAGACTCCCTTCACAACTGGGAGGCACTTCAGACTTTTGACATTCAACAAGAGTTGGGTTCCTTCTCTAAATGCCTGGGGTTTTTTTTCTTTTTTGGTAATAAGGGCTATGATAACACCAGATTTGCAGGTTGGGGAGGACTGGGATCTGAATCTCGTATAAAGTCTTCATGTAACCCCCCTGCCCTCTTCATCTAATCCAAATACATGTAACTGTATAGATCCAGTAGCAGTGAAGTATTTTCATTTAACCTTTTGCAAAGATGGTCAGCAATTAAACTATTAAATGTCAGCCATTAAATTTTGTGTTGTCTGCAGATTCAAGTATACTTCAGTATATTAGTTAATATTTATCCCAGTCTCAAAGGAGTGACCGTAATTGGTGCAAATGGTCATGATTATGACCAAACTATTTGAAAACAAGAGGATAAAATCACCACTTACTTACCAAGCTCTTCTGTATTGAACTAACTTCCACATCTTAACTTAGCAACTGTTCACAAGTCAACTTTACTGCTGAAGGCGTGGTTACCATATTGTCAATGTTCTTGACAAATGGAGAGCCTTAGAAACAAAGCATCCAGTGAGCCACAATATTGGTGACATTTCTGTCTCTCTAAAGCATCTGCTAATGGTGGTGGCCAGCTCATTGCTGAGGTTATACTTCGCTCTGTATCCCAGCACCATGCTTGTTGGTTCTGGAACAGAGCTGTAGGGAAGATGTCATGGGAAATTTGAAGTGAGTTTCGGATGGAGCACAAATGCAGTGGGAACAGGAAGGGGGTAAGGAACTACTGTGCATGGTTCTTTAATTGGGATTTTGCTGCTGCTTCCATTTAGCAGATGGCAGGCAGATCCATGAGTTTGCCCTCTTACAATTCAAGCTTGTGAAATGTAATCAGTCTTTCAAGGAAAGGGTAACCCGATTATGTTCTCACCTTTGGATCACAGCTGGGTAACATAAACAAGGGGTGTTGAATTGAAACAGTTTCTAGTTTCATTCCTTCAGCCCTTTCTTTAGTGGCTTTACCTGAGCTTCAGCCCTTTTCTAGTAAAACTTTACTTGATAAAGTAAACATTTTATCTAGATTGTTGATCAGACTGCTGTAGTGTTTTGTGTGTAAGATCTTTGGAAGTCACCATTCACTTGTTATCAAATAGTCCCTGAAAACAGGTTAGTCCAGGTGGATGGAAGAATTGTGTTAATGAATCATCTGGTTCAATCCAAATGGGTATAAAAACCCTGAAACTATCCAGTGCAGTACTAAAGAGTCTGCTGCCTTAGGTCAGAACACTTGCTGCTGCTTGAGTTGTAAAGGATACTTGTAAAAGGGAGAGTGCAGTTTGAAGGTCTGAATTAATGTAAATCCATGGGCAACACAGTTTTATCTTGCTCCTGTGTTATCAGGTGAGTTGCCCCTATAAGATGAAGAGCTCTGTATTGCAAAGAGCACAATGATTCCTGCTCCTTTAAAGAACTTGATGCTGCTGCCACTTTGTAAATAAAAGCGATTTCAACAGGTTCCACTAAGGGAAACTCTTATTTTCCTCTTAATGCAGAAAACATACAATCTACTTGTAGAAAAGGTTACCTTTCAGGACTAAGACATCAAAGACTGTTGAACTGGTGGAATATTTCATGCCTTTGAAGTCTTAAATTGATTTTGGTTTTATTGCAGGATAGTATCGTCTTAAAAGAAGAGAAGGCACCACAGGAACTAAAAGGTGAGGCAAAGAAAACCTCTGTCTCCCACCTGTCTGAGATCTCAAAATATTTTGTACAGCCTGGTGTTGCTTCCCCTTTGTGTGGATTAAAAACTAATGTTGTTTTAGGGCAGGATAGTGGAATATAGAATATCAGTCTTCGAAACTGGGTGACTCTAGGCAGGGTACTGAAATGAGGTTTTTACACCTTGGTCTGGCATCTAGTTATAGGAAATGTCTGTTTCTGGCATCCATTATCCCACTAGATGCATTACAGGAGAGAGCTGCTTTTTTTTAAATAGTCCTTGTCATTGGGACTCTGCCCCCGCCCCCTCCCCAAGCCTGCTCAGGCAGTTCAGCTGTTCTGGTTACGTGTCTAAACCAAGGGTGTTCACCCTCCAGCTTGTGGGCCAGATGTGGCCCACAGAGGCATTGCATCTGGCCTGCAGGTCTCCCCGTGGTCACGAAATCTGGTGGCAGGGGAGTGGTAACTACTAATACAGCCACGTTCCCTCCTGCCAAATGCCCAAACCCCAAGCACTGTGCGCCCAGTCAGAGACAGGCTGTGCTCCTTTCCCCCAGTAGGGCTAGATTGAGACCGGGCCACCCTCCCTGACTCATGTCCCTGCATTTCTCCCCCTGTCCCACCCATGGGGCTGGGAAGCCAGGCTGACCCCCGATCCCTTCTGCCCATGATCTGATGTGGCACTGCCCATCTGGCCCACTGAGGAAAGATGAAAAGCACGGCCCATCCAGCATGCTGGGGAAAAAGGAAAGTAGCACTACTGGTCTAAACTGTTTGAATTGTGGGGAAATAAATCCCTTTTGGGTAATATATGCATAACTGTTATAAAGAAATCTCACCCTCTGTATTGTATTGTAGGGTGAAATTATGGCTACATAATAATTAACTTTCCACAGGTTGATGTTTTCTGGGATTAACAATGCAAAACAAAGTTGGTGCTTCTATTATACTCTCAAACTCAGCAATAAGTTGGCATGTCGTATCAGTTGCAATTAGCCATAATTGTATAGTATGTGTAGTATAGTAAATATGTATTGTATAGTATAGTATCTTGCACAGCATTTCATTCCTTGTAGTAAAATTTTGGTAAGATTACTAAAAGAGGTAGTACATATTTGGCAAGAAGATATTTTTCCTCAAAACCCACTTCTTCCAGTGAAAGAAAGGAAGACTGCATCTTCTTTTACACTGCCCTTCTCTGAGCAAATGAAGAGCAAGCAGAGAAAGGGATTGGATCCGAAAGAAAGGGAGTAGAAGGTTAGGAAGAACGCAGGTGATAAAGAGCATTATTAACTGCATGGCAATATAACAATTGTTCTAACCTACCTTTTCATACAGTTGCAGAAAACAACAAACTGCAAGTGGAAGACAGAGTTGAGAAAAAGGAGCAACCCAAGGAGCCAGAACCTAAGATTGATAATCATGAACCCAGACTAGGGCCAAGGCCACGATCACACAACAAAGTCCTCAACCCCCCTGGTGGCAAATCCAGCATTGCATTTTATTAGGAACAACTGTCTGCTTTCACTAATGGAGTCTGCACAGAAACTTTATCTGTGGGTCTTGAGGTCAGTTTCTAGGCTATCCCCTGGAGACAGATCCTATAGGCAGGGGAATATGGTCTGTAGTTTCCTGTCTACACTCTGGATTAGAACAGGGGAAAGCCTGCTGATTGCAGGGCCCTCTAAAAAAAAAAAAAAAAAAAAAAAAAAAATGTTATAGTGCCTATAGAAAATAACTGTGAAGATTGTCTTTTATTTGTGAGAGGGACAGGGGCTTAATTAGGGGAAAGGAGTGTCCCTTTGTGGTGGGTGGTTATAATCACATCTCTGGGCTTGCAGCTAGCTTGTGGTTGTGGACTGAAGCTTTTAGTGCAGGTGCCATGATGACAGTATGTCCTATTGAATGAAGGTTTCATTGAAAGGTGTGGGATAACCTAAGTGAGCCCAAACAGGCAGTTCTCTCTCTTCAGGCAGTGTAATCTAGCATCACAGGGTGAGTTGTGATCTGCAATTGCTATGGCTTCAATTTGATCTGCTCTATTAAGTGGTGTAGCTAAGCTCCAAAGCATTTGTTCAGTCTTTTGCTATAGCAAGTGCAGATTGCTTCCCTGGGCATGTGACTTTAGGGTAAGGACAAACAGTGTTTTTAAAGGTAAGAAAAATCTCTCCTTTTGTGGCAGTTTCATGAGCCATCAAATGTAGTGAGCTTCCCAAGATCACCTCCCCATGGCTGTGAGACCCTCCACTTCCATCAGTCTGTGTTGATGCATACTGCTATTTTATGCAGGTGCTTTTGGAAAGATTCTTATTTCAGTGACACCCTGCTGCAGTTTCTCCAGACTTCCTGGTAAAAATGATAGTGACTTGGGAATGTACAGTATTTGAGATTTCTAGTGAGCCAATTTTAGCCCATCACCAGCCATTAAGTAAAAGCCCTCGTGTGCAGGAATTCTGTTGGTTTTACTTCTACTGCCTTAGAGAAACCACAGACTGTTCTGTCATTGTCTCCACAGTAGCTCTTTTCTGTTTCTCTGCCGACTCTGTTAGTGAATTCTCTTCTGTCTCTAGTCAGCCTTAATTTGCCTTTGACTGCCTCAGCTTTTTGCTGAGTGTGGGCAATCTAAGTTGCCATCCACACAAACAGCTGTTGTAGCTGTCTTGAGATGCTCTTAATCTGATTAGGGCAGCCTAAGAATCCTTGCAATACAAACCTTTGGCACACTGGTTATCTTGAATCATGTTAGTAAAAACATGTGCATTGTTTCCAATGAGCAGTTGAAGAGTGGCTGAAAGATTTCACCAATTTTGACTGGACTTTTCTTTGAATATGTGCAAAACTTCAGTGTTTTGATTACACTAGGTGCTTAGGCTGTTGGCCATTTTTAATAAGACTTTACTGTCTGACTGCGTCAAAAATGAGCGTTCTTCAGTACACCAAAGAACAAGCAAGCTTATCTGCACAGTGGCTCCATAAACCAGGAGCTGGTGTAGCCTTGGTTTTCTAATCTATTTTTTTTTTTTGCAGAAAAACTGTTCAGATGAATTCTCTTAAGTCCAGGTACTAAAACAACTGGCAGACTACTGTCTGTTAAGTACTCAACTGATGCCAGCAAAGATGAATGGCTGCATAAATACTTACAGCTACCTTCTTGATCTGTGAAAGCATAAATATTGTCTTGGGGACAGAAATGGCTCTGCAAGGCAGGAATCTTAAGGCCTGCTATAACTGACATATAGGCTTGAGTTCCTGCTCTCGGCCCCCTGGGGTATGGGAAGAATGGTCCCTTTTTTGGAGGTTGATCTCGCAGTTGCAGTACCAAATGGGATGAAAGTTGCCTCTTTGGATAGCAGTTTCCTCGCTGCTATTCCTATTTTGTTTGCCTGGCTAAATTTGTGAGGGAGCCCTGTCCACTTTCTTCCTCACTGGTGTGTCAACTCCCCTTTCCAGTGTGGGCTAGGATCTTCAAAACATTAACAAGTAGTAAAGGTCAATTGAAGCTTGCCCTTTTGCCTTTAGCATTTTTTTTTATGGACAGGTTTGTCTATAGACAGTGTCTTGCTAAAGCTTTGATTCTAAGCTCAGTGGTTTAGTCAACTTTCAAGTTTGCTGGACCTGAAGTATTAGGGTGAGCATTGGCCTACAGTGCCTGTATTCTGAACAACTTTCAGCTAGGCCTTAAAACTGGTAGTGATTCTGTCTGTGCATTTTTTTGGCATTTCCATGCACTCAACATCAAGTAAGTTTGATAAGGATGCTCTTTTTAAATGAGGCTGAAGGGGATTTGGAATGTGTATAAAAATGGTAAATCATAAGACTTCTCAATAAACCGCTGTATTTTGTTACTTCAGTGTTATGTAGCTATCTACTACTGTAACTAGGTGAATCTAGGCATCTTGGCCTTTGACCAGATCCAGAACTAAATCTCCAGAGAATTAAAGTCTCCTTCTGCAGATTACCCAGACATCCTGGCATACCTCTAAGTGCCATGTCTAGGGGAAGTGGGACTGAGCCTCATCCATACTACAGAAGTGATGTAACCTTCTAGTATACTTTATTAGAAGCTGCGGTATCTTTCTCTGATTTTGAGTATAGAAACTGCTGTACTATGACTGTTTTCAGAGGGTTTCTCTCATGCTGGGGTGCTACTTCAGCTGAATGTTCTGTTCTTTTGCAGATAAGGATACTGTCTTATCCCTGTACAAAAATCATGTAAAGGTATCTAGCCTTGGGACTATCCTTGAATTGACTTCCTAATTTCTTCACTGTTGAGCTGATATGCTTAGATACTGGGATCCATTCATGATGTGGAAATACTTTTGCCTGTAACCAACAGAACATTTTATTAAATGCACAGAACTGTCCTAGTACATTAAGTTTTGTTCTGTCAACCAGGTGACTTAGACATGGCAGCTCAAACCAAATATTTTAAAACAGGGTGAATTGGGTCCAAATCAGTCTCAACTAATGTCTCCCATCCCAATCCCAATTGTGAACAGCTATTAATTCAAGTTGTTCCATATTTCAGCTGCATCCCAAATTCCACTTTTTGTGTGCTGTTTGTACGCTTGGTATAGCATCTCTTGAGGCAGGGCTTTAGCTCTAAATAGGTTCTTGTAGGAACCTCAGAGTTTTAACTATCCTTGATTAGTTAATGCATTGACAATGAAGAAGATAAATGTTCTATTCCATTAAACTGCAGACAACAGCTAAGTGGATTTTGTTTGGACACAACTATAGATAACTGCATAATGAAGTCATACCACAGTCTGCAAAGCAGTTTTTTATTTATCTTTTTTAGTAGAAGAAACAAATTGGACTATACAAATGTAGGGAGTTTTTAAAAGATTGACCATTATCCTGGCTAATGCATTAAATGACTTCACAGGACATTAGAGGTTATTTAGTTAATATATTAACACTAATTTAGGATGTGGCAAAAAAATGGGTCAAGCATTATATGCTTTGACAAGCAGAGAATAATTGCAAATGTTTCCTTATTTTGAGGAGAAGTTGTACAGCAGTGTTAGATGGTGCTCTCACCTAGGCTAAGAACAAATGTTGCATTTCTCCCTACACAAGTTGTGCTTGTGTTTGTCCTGGAACAGAAGTATTGCAGGATTGGTGTACATGTACACATCACCGTTCTAATCAGGGTTTAATGAGCAGCTGAATGCACTGCTGCTTTTCTACCATTGATTTCAGTGATGCAATCCTGGGATAATCATTCAGATGCACTTTGAGATGTCCCAGCATAAGCTGTTAGTACTTCCTGTCCTATAAACCTTTTTGGATTTACCCAGGGGATAAATGCCATAGCGCTTGTCCTGGGATAAAATGGCTTATTCTGGGATAAGCAACATGTGGCGCTCTGCT